GGGGTCCCAGCCAGTGTTCCCTCTAAGCTGAGTTAGTGTGAGCTAGTTCACAGTTTTTTAGCCTCCAGCTCACATTTTTGTCATAGCTCAGGAAGGAGGGCTCCAGAGCAAACTAATTTATGCAGTAGCCAAATCGCTCGCTCACAACTTTAATGCCAGTAGCTCACAAGGTAGAATTTTTGCTCACAAGATTCCACAGCTTAGAGGAAACATTGGTCCCAGCTAATATATCTATTATATTCGTATCCACCCGTTTTCCAAGAAGTTGCTTTCCCCACCTCCATTTTATTTTCAAACAACCCTGTGAGTTAGATTGAACACATGAAGCTGCCTTTTATTGAGACAGACCACTGGTTTATCAAAGTCAGCATTATCCACACTGACTGGCGGTGGCTCTCCCAGGTTTCAGGTAGAGGTCTTTCCTGTGGAGATGCCAAGGATTGAACCTAAGACTTTCTGCATGTAAGGTAGATTGTCTATCACTGATACATGGCCCCTGAGAAAGAGAGCTTGAACCAGGGACACCAAGTGCATTTCATGCTTCAAGAGGGAACTGGATAAAGATATGGAGCGGAGGTCCATCAGTGGCTATTAGCTACAAGGTATAGATAGGAACTCTCAGTCTGGGGCAAATGATGATCTGTATTCTTGGTTCTTGGGGGGGGGCAACAGTGGGAGGGCTTCTAGTGTCCTGGCCCCACTGGTGGACCTCCTGACGGCACCTAGTATTTTTGGCCACTGTGTGACAGAGTGTTGGACTGGATGGGTCATTGGCCTGATCCAACATTGGCTTATGTTCTTATCTACTCTTTTTACACATGTTCTAAGCTGAAAGAGATCACTTCTGTTCAGTAAGCAAAATGAAGTTAACGTCATCTTCAGTATCCTGACATAATATATAGTTAGAGAATGGGAAATAATTGTGTACAAGTGAGTGGCGCACGAGACTTGCAAGGGGATTCCGTATCTCTCCCCCCCCCCCCCCCCCACACACACCAACTGCTGAGTCCGGTGAGGCTCCAAGCCCCACCACCTACCCTGGAGCTCAGCTGCCAGCATTTGCCACTGCTGTGCCTGGGCCCATAGGGGCTGCTGGTGTCTGCTCCTGGCCTGAAGTGGCCGCTGGCATCTACCACCACTGAGCTAGAGTGGCTCCCTAAGTGTGTTCTCTGTACATGCGCAGAGAATGAAATTGTATTGTTTTGGGGAGGGACTTTAAACTTCCCCTATATATTTTATCTCTGATTTAAGATTTTTCTGCAGATTTTTTTGGGGAAATCTGTTTAGTGTCCATGTGGCCCTGATCTGTGGATTTAGGTATCCGCAGATGGAGACCACACGTTGCTGTTAGTATAGATGAGAAAAACGACATAGTGGTGATAGAACTCTATAAAGTTCCAACCTCAATTATTTAGTCTACTTTCCATACTTCAGTGTTTTTCTCTTGTACAGATGGACTCCCATAAAAACAAAGATGGCATAGATGTATGTGAAGGCACTTCTGAAGGTAAAAACTCCACCTTGCACCTCTTCTGTTAAATCTTTATCAGTCTGTTTTTGCTTAAATAATTATAGCTTCTGCACAGAGGTTAAATTGGGGTTTCTACAATAACCAAAGATTGGGGAATGGGAGAAGAATGGCACTGTAGAAAGTTTTTTTTCTTTTCAGAACACAAATCAGAATAAACTTAGTACAGTCTCTGCAGTTAAAACCTCCTCATTCCCTAAGCTGAAGAACAGAGGCTGACTGGGTCAGGGAGAGGCAACATTTTTTAACCTGAGAGCTGAAAGCAAATGCAACATCTTTAATGTGTATGCCAACAGACAAAAAGCCGGATAGAGAAGAAAAGAAGGCTGTATTTGGCAAGATATGCTGGGATCATGCCGAGCCCCAGCGATGATGTCTGTGGGTTGCCTTCAACCTGACTGGCAGTTATGTGTATCTAGGAGGGTGATAATGGGTATGAGAGCCAGTTTGGTATAGTGGTTAAGTGTGCGGACTCTAATCTGGGAGAACCAGGTTTGATTCCCCACTCCTCCACTTGCACCTGGCTGGATGACCTTGGGCAAGCCGTAGTACTGATAACAGCTGTTCTTGAAAAAGAGCAGTTTCTGTGAAGAGCTCTCTCAGCCCCACCTACTTCACAAGGGTGTCTGTTGTGGGGAGGAGAAGGGAAAGGAGTTTGTAAGCCGCTCTGAGACACCTTTGGGTAGTGAAGGGTGGGGTATAAATCCAATCTCTTCTTCTACAAGTCATACCTGTTGCCTTCTGTATGACGCTGCCAGTTCCCCAAGTGCTTGCCTTGGTTGCTTGGGCAGACAATAGCCCCTGCATGCCAAGCAAAATGGTCTGGTGTCCCCGTTCAGCACATGTGCTGGGAATTGCATACCTAGATCTCAGTGATAGTTATTGTAGGTGTAGGCTTAAGGCTATGGCCAATAAAGCTGTACCATTGGAAGAGGAGGTTATCATACGTGAAACTCACACCCTACCAGTTACGTAGCTGTTCCTGGTGCATTGCTTTCAGAGAACATGGCAGCTTCAGAAATATAAAAAGTATTTTGAAGTGTATGTTGATATCACCAAAGAAGAAACCATGGTCTATGCCAAAATAGAACAAAATAGTGTGATTAAGAAGAGCTTGGGGAAAAAATGCTTTAAATACTTGGACATCAGCATCAACTTTTTAGGGCGATTATGTGCCTAGACATCCCACCCCCACCCCAGGTTCTCTGATTTATTTACTTGCATATAAAACATGCTGTGCTTCTTTCCACACTGCCTCTTAGAACTTAATGCTACACCACTTTCTGCTCGATCACGAAACAATAATCTGAAACGTCCGAAGTTGGGGAAAAGGATCCAAGAATTTGATGTTGCTGATGGTGAAGATGGAAACATTTCTGAAGCATCAGAAAACAGGTATGATGTAGGTGAATGTTTTAGTTATATCAGAGATGTCCCAGAATGAGTCTTATGCTGCTCAGTGATTTTAGGAATGGTTTATACAAAGAAGAATGTTGAGTTTGCATAATTGTGGATGACAGCCAGGAAATAAGCCTGCCACAATGTGGAAGTTGGCTTTAAATAGCAATATATTTCAATAAAACCAACGTATGTAATTTCTTTAGTCATTGGTGAAAAAGGTCAGATAACCAATTAATGGAGAAATGTACATACATTTGCACTCTGTCAAAATTAAGTATTTTTAATGTTATTTATAACTCGAATTTCTCACTGAGACTCAGGGCAGATTACATAACGTCAGTATAATGAATAGGATGAGACCTCTAATAAACAATGTAATAGGACTAGGATTGTAGAATTTTGAGGCAAAGCACAAGAATTCAGCATGAAATGTTAATAATGCAAGAAATGATATTACATAAATAAAACTAACTCAGTGAAAGCAGAATAAAAACATAATAGCAACAGAGAATGCATATTAGTCATGTTCCTGAATCATTCTGTTTTAACAAAGCCCAGATTCTTTATAAAAATACCCTTCTGAACAGTTTTTTTAAATAGTTTGAGGAAAGTCAAAAGTGTGGGAACCTTCCTGACCTCCCCTAGCTAGCCGTTCTGTGGGATGGTAGCCACTATAGAGAATGCAAGTACATGGGCAGTTGCTGATCTTGCCCATTTGGGGGGGGGGGGGCACATGGGCAAGGCCATGTTCAGATGAGCGAAGTTGTGTTGGGGCATGGGAGGCAAGGTGTTGGTTAAACACTAACAAAAATATTCAAAGCAGAAGACTTGTGTTCAATTTTGAATTCACAAAAAATGAGATGGAGCATGTCTGTATATTAGACTAGTTGATGATTTCTCTAGTTTTTGTTTTTATAGTACTCCAAGAGCATGCATTTCAGTATTACATCATTCTTGATAGATGCTTACTTTGTTACTTGTGCACAGACTGGAACCTGCTGCTCGTGTGTCTGAAAGCTCAGAAGAGTTGATAGAAGAGATAGCAGAAAATATAGCTGAACATGAACTGGAGGAGTTAACCGAAAATAGAAAGCAACCAGTACAAGAAGTGCAACAATTGTCTGAGAAACAGGATGATAAAGAGGTACATTTTGGTTAAAGATTCTACATTGGTTTCAGACTCCTGCAAATGGAAAGAGTAGATAGAAGCAGATTCTTCCCTGTCTTCCCCTTCCCATTGCCCCTCCCATTGCTTTCCCCAACAGCTCCTACTGAGGGTTGGGAGAACCTTCCTGAATAATGTGCCATGAGTTACTGAGGACTGCAGGAGGGGGTGGGGGAAATAGACTGAGCAAAATTGCTTAATCTGGAGAGTTTCATCTGAACCCACCCCCCTAATGCTACATGGTATATTTTGGCATCTCCCTCAACCCTTAGCAGTTGTTTTGGGGGATGTACAAAGGGCTGGTTGGAGAGTTTGCAAGAGCTTGGACCTAATCCTCTGTCAAGATGAAACTGGTGAAGTCTCTAATTGTTCTGCTCTGTATGAGGGAGTGTAATCCTTGGGTTTGGAAAAGATTAGTCCAGTACTGTGATAATACTGTTTTCCACACAGGGCCAAGGGTATACACAAACCTGAGGCTTACTGATGTCTGGTATTAAGTAGAAAAATGTTTGTCTGAACTAGATTTGTATCCATTGTCACTGCTGAATAAAATGTTGTTAGCAAATTAAGAAGTAGCAGTGGCTATGATGGATGAGTAACTCTTTGATGAATGAATGTCCTTGCAGGAATCTGATGAAGAGCCGCTGAATGGGGAGCTGACGGAACATGCTATCAAGGTTTCATTAGTGACCGAAGGGGAAACAGTAAGTGAAGCTATGGATGGAGAAGCAAAGCTGCAATCGGATAGTTCAGAAGAAGCAACTTTAACTTTATTAGTCCCATTAATTCTTGACTCTTCAGAGAAATCTCCTGAAGGCAGTGATGACAATATGTCAGATAAGGTGAGCAAAATTTAGAAAAAAGTGTCTTTTCTGTTCTGTTGGCTCATTTTCTTATGAATAGCCCTGGAAAGAGGGTGGAAAGCACTGTCCCCTATTACTGTGCAAGAAAAGAGCCTTATGTGTCCATTAAATGAAAATTCGTAGTAGCATTTCAGTTTCCACAATATAATGTTATATAGGTGGACAAATGTTCCTGCCACTGATTCTCCTCCTCCTCCCTCTCAATATTTGGAGGATTCCAGGGAGCAAAATGACAGATATTTATTTCAGTGATACTTGTGCACGCCTAATGTAGTGGCCACTATTCAGATGGTTATAAATGGGGATTAAACAAATTAATGGAGGATCAGTTTAGCAACAGCTAATAACCTTGTTAGCGAGACGGAATTGCCATATTTAGAGACAGTATGTCCCTACTTGGGGTGGGGGGGGGCGGTGCTACTGGAGGAGAGGGCTGTTGTGTGCTTGGTCTGTGGACCAGGGATAGATGTTTCTGCATCTCTGTGTTTTGAATGGCTTTTTTACAGCATGTTTGTTTACTCAGAAATAATCCACATTGACTTCAGTGGGATTGATTCATCAACCTATACATCAAGATTATTGTCCTAGTTTAGAGAACATAGTGTAGATAAACTTGGATCTTGGAAAAATGTGCCCTACGTTGCTATACAGCCCTAAGAGAGATTCCCTGTGAAGTCCCTTTCTATATCAACAAGCTTGAAATTATGTGTGTGCACGCATCAGTTTGGATCCTAAATTACACAGAATTCCAGTCTTCCCCTTTTCCTTCCTACTGCAGACTGCCCTGCCTCCTAAAATTCTGCTCCTGGGGGGTCAGTGAACCTCTGGGGATAGTGTGAGACACGAAGTAGGAATCTGCCCTCCCAGTTGTGGGGTGGGGTGGGGGTCATCCAGCTCTTCTACGGGATAAACCATGGTTCAACAGTAGAGAATCTGCTTTGCGTGCAAAAGGACCCAAGTTCAATTCTCAACATCTCCGCTTTTTAAAAAAAATCAGTTAATGTGTAGCCTCTACCCGAGACCCTGGGGTGTTGCTGCCAGTCACAACCGACAGTGGTCTGACTTAGTTGTAGGGCAGATTCATCCATACTTTCCACAAGTAGAAAAGGAGGTCGGGATGTAAGCCATTATCTCTGCCTCATTATTTCTTTAGTCTGCTTTCTGTAAGACGAGATGATTCTGAGAGCACTGGTTGTGGGGCCTTCGCATTGGCTGATGGCCTTGGGAGCCTTTGGTCAAGTTGTTACCTTTGAGTCTTGTGTAAAACTAATAATATTGGCCTGTGGCAGTAATTGTGAAGAGAACCAGCCTGGGTGCAGTGGTTAGAGTATTTGACTAGTACGTGGGAAACCAGGTGAGAATCGCAACTCTGCCAGGAAACTCATGGGGCCATTTGGGCTAGCCACACACTCTCAGCCTAAATTACCTCTCAGGTTTGTTACAAGGACAAAGTGGAGGAAGAGGAGAATGATGTATGCTGTCCTGAGCTCCTTGGAGAAGATGTGTGAGATGCAAACTTACTAAATAAAGGTGAACAATATATTTTGCAGATTAAGAGTGCCACCTAAAACACTATGAAGAGTTTTTTTTCTTCCCTCAGATTGAGAGCATGGCGGATTCAGAAGTACCACTGGAAGAGGAACAAACAGTAGCCCATAGGAAAAAGGCGGTTGTTAATAACGCAGATCTTGTTGCATCATCACAAAAGGAAGAGCCCTCCAATAATGGCCTTTCGAACTCTGTAGCAACCGAAGCTCCAGAAGATGCCGTTTCTGAGAACGTGTCTCCCAATACAACCTCTTCCCTGGAGGAGCAAAGTGAAGGAGGGTCTGACTCGCCAGAGGCCCCTGTTGCTCTGGGTCAGGGTTCCTTAGTGATGGTTGAACTGGAGGATATTGCATACCAGCAACACACAGAGGGGCAAAAGAATCAGATGGATGAACAGTCTGAGGAGTCAGCAGAGCCAGCATCCGAGAGAGCTGCAGACAGCAGTTCTGAGGAAGTGGAAGTGGAAGTTCCCATAATAGACAGGCGGACCTTGCGAAGAAAGGCCAAAGGGTACAAAGGGCCACCCAAGAAAAAAGGAAAGCTAATTTAGATTGTGAGCTGTTGCCACAGCTGGAACAATTACTGTGTGTGTATTTTTTAAATTGGTTATTTAAAACTGTATTGAACTGTAGAACACATATATCTTCAAACACTGGCATTCACCCTCCCCCTTTAAGAACCACTACAGACACCAATTAAATATGGAAGTAAATGGCCAGTCTTCATAAATAATAAAGTATAAGAACTTGCTTAGCATAGTAGTTTGGTAGACATGATACTTTTGCATCATTCTTGTTAGATAAATTAGAGAGACCCCAATACATTTCATCTGGCATCTTAGTCACTCAGTTACCAGATGCAGCTCTGAATTGTGGACTGTTTTTTACAATAGCTGTTCCCCCAGAAGGCTGAATGGTATCCATGGTTTAATATTGAGCTATGTGCCACGCACTTCAGTGGTTCCCATAACTCTAGAACTTTTTCAGTTAATGCCCCATTAGACTGATCTACATTCCATGGAACGATTAATCAAACATCTTGATGTGTAATAATAATTTACGAGGGATAGATTCTAATTACACTCTTTTCAGAAATAATGTAATTATTTCACAATAAATTAAAATCTTTTTTGTGACCAGATAATTCAAAATATCTGACAGTATTTATATTTAGGTGTTGGCATTTTTTCTCATATGCTCTTCAGGATGGTTGCATCCAACTTTTGTCAGTTAAACCAGCAGGATATGGACCCAGTTATGGAATAGTTAAACTGAAAACTTGGCCAGTAAAGTAGATATTTATTTCCACAAATGACGCTCTAGCATAATTTAGAATGGTAGTAAATGTACAGATAACTTCAGATTTGTACTGTTACCCCTTTTATAAATAATAGGAAGGCTCATAAAGAATGTCTTAAACTGAGGTAATTTTTTTTAGTGTATATTAATAAAGGTTCACTTGCATAGCTTTCAGTGATTTATTTTAATCTGCTAAGAGTGGGCTTTCTTTCTGGGTATTTTCTAATAGCATATGTTAATGAGACACGGCTTTTTTAACTCTTCTTGAATACAAAGTGCTGTTTATCATTTTTTAAAAGTGTGTTGTTAGAAGCTTTGGTTTTGAAGTGTACGGAATTGCCAATCTGGATTTCTAGGGTGTTACACTTTCCTCCTCAGTGTACATTTGTATGGTGTGGATCAAAAGTGTGGATGCAGAATGGAGAGTTGTTTATAACAAAATATATTCAAATGAACCTTCAGCATTTCTAACACCAATTACATACTTTCTATGAAGCACATGAAATCTAATTATAAATACCTATGGCTTGTCTTTCTTGTAGTACTAAGATTTTTTTCTGAAAATAAATGCCTTGATAATTTAAGAACTGTCTAGTTTTTGCTATATCACTAGGAGGGGAATTTTTTAGGATGATGGGGGTTAGATTTAAAATACCCTTCATACTGTGTTTTAACAAATATAGGACATGAATGTTAGGTGTATGGGTTAAGGTTTAAAAAAGAGTAAATGTTTCATAGGACTTAAAGGATTCTTGATCTGTAAATCTAGCTACATTTTGTGAGGTGACTCAAATCTGTATTCCTATGACAACTTCTGGACTGGTCGCTAATTACATGGTTTAGTGTGCTTAAATCTGTCTTTTTCTCTACTGTCTTACTGCATTGAAGGCTATAGAACTTTGTTAGTGAAGTCAATTCACTTTTGTTTCTTGTTCTGAAATTCAAAATAGTATACCAGCACCTGATTTCAAAAATTTGTTTCATCTGTGAGAGCTGAACTTCACTGTAAGTACAAGAGTGTTCATGTCTTAGGGAGGTCTACTGTTAATGTTAAGCGGCTTCAGGAGTGCAGCCTATTTGTGTGAACTGGATTCATTAATGTGGATATGTACTGCCAATCCTTACAAGGTTTTTGCATGTAAGCAAACCTGGAAAATGTTCCCTTGTCATAAAGTCCAGTATGTGACATTCTGAATCATTAAAATGTACCTGAAATTGTGCTGTATATAAAAATTATGACTGATCTAAATTAATTCTCTGTGAAGCCCATGAGTTAAAAATCAACACTGAACATCATTAAGGGCTGCACAGTTTCCTGAATAATTGTTCCAGAAATACTCTATTGAAGTACAGTTGTTTCTACCTACTAGCATCTTGTGTTAAGTTACTTGGACTTAAGCAAGAAATGGCAATACTGTGCTTGAAAGACTTCCAAATAGTCATTTTGTGAAAGAAATAGAAGAAAGCATCACTGCAGTGTGTTCCAGTTTCATAGAGGAAGGAATCTTTGAGGGTTAGATATCTTATTCTTCAGCACTTGACATGTTAATAGATGAAAGTTCTACTTGGCCATAAAATGTGATCAAATATGAAAAATACTACACTGTAGTATTACTTCTGCTATTTGATGGTACAAGATCTAAAGATTAATTTATGAACGGAGTTTTACTTCTAGCTGTGTTCTGTTAAATGTTATTGTTCAGATAGTACGGCTTTTGCTAATGATGTCAAAATGTATGTTACTTTTCCTTTTCCTCCAAGGTTTTATTTCATGCACAACTTGTTTCACTAAAGTTATAGCATGAAATAGGTCAGACCTAATCTTGACCCAGGAATAAAACGTTCTAGTTATTGCAGTCCTTTATATTACCACAGAAATCCTTGCAGGATCATAGGCACTAGTACTACCATTTGTTGCTGTACAGACATGAGCAATAAGTAGTTCAGATTTCAGCTCCACTTTCACTACTGGTTCAGTCTTCAGTTGAATTACTGTCACAACCCTGATATGTTTTATAGATTTGTGGTACTGTTTATGGATCTTACTGTGATGCTATCCTACAGTAGTGCTTTACTTGTGTGTTTTACAGTTTGTCCCTTTTTAGCGTATGTTTCAAAATAATCATTAAAGTTTTTTTGTAATTTTCATCTGGTTTTAGTCAAGTTTCAACCATCTTCACAAATATCAATATGGGCTATATAGGTTTCACAAACAACCCAGGGTAACTATTGAACTAATCTTACACTTGTCTGCCTAGGTTCTACAGTGCAGACAAGCCCTGACAGCTTTGTAAATACAGCTGGGCAGAGTAAGTAGAAATCATCTTCCTTTGACTGTTCTGTCAAGGCTAAGTGCATAAAAACAGATTTTGCTCCAGGTGCAATGAGACCCTTTTCAGTCATCTTGTTCTTAGTTCATTTTTTACTTTCAGTATGTAAGTGAGCTGCTCTCATAAACGTGTAAGTCACACTGAAAAGGCAGTCACTTCTACAGGACCTTGTCAGTGCTGCAGGTTCTAAAAGACTCTGTTTGGGGGTATTATAAAGTTACCTAGAAATAAGCAATATATTGAATCTAACAGGGCTAATGTAATAAGACAGTTCACAGCAGAAGGATGCAAGGTAAAGTGCTACACTTTATGACACTTCTTTGCTTTTAAATACTGTGTACACCAGTGCCATATTCACTTGCACAAGGTAAATTCATCTAAGCATGATGAAGTACAAAAATACTGATCTTAGCCATTTTGAGGCTAAGGCATGAAGAAAAGCTTTCAGGTTATTAAAATGTTTGATGCATAATTGTCTTTCACTTCCTCTGGGGCCAGTTCCTTTTTAAAAACTACATGGAAAGCTACACCAAGGCCAGGATATCCCTCCAGTCATAGTTCATTTTTTGGCTTCTAGACATATCAGATTTCATCAGTCCCTTCTAGTAAATTAATCTGGATAAAATAACCTTTGGTCAAAATTGGTTTCTTTTTATTACTAATGATGCACAATGAACAAAATAGTACACAAACTTTCAGTTCTTTCAGTGCTGATGTTGCAAAGCAAACTGTTATCTGTCCATATTTTGAGACACTCATCTGCTTGTGGGCCGTCTATACAAGTAGGAGTGCATTAATGCACCCATCATTTTCTGGATTGTTGGTTACTTGTGCATATTTTCCTGAAAAAGAAAATATATATTGAAAACCTTGAACCAAAATGGAACCACAAAGGTTACTGTAACTGGCAAAAACCAATGAACACACTGCCTTAGCCAGTGGCCAAAGAAGCGGTATTTGTAGAGTTCTCTTCCCTAAATATGGATGGTACCATTTAGAACAGTCATGATGAAAGGACTAAAAACCCTCCAGTGTTTCCACTGGGGAAGAAGGCCTTGACATGTTCCAGTCAACTGGTTTACATTGTAACAGTTTGAGACCAAGGGAATGCACAAAAAACAAACCAGTGCTGCTTCCAATAAACTGCTAACAAGATACAGGAATCATCTCTCATGCAAACTAGCCTTAGACTTAACAATCTTTAAATTTGTCAGTTCACACTAAGTCAAACTCATAATGCTTAAAAGTTAGCCCAAGAAAAAGGAGGGAGAAATTTCAAGGAAATTTGGGAGCAAAACTGCTGTTAGAGGTGGAAGGCACAAGGCAAAGTCCATTAACTCCAATAGAGTTCAAAGGGTGCAGCACTGTATCCTTAACCAGAACTAACCTACTTATGTTTAATAGCAGGGCCCTGATATGCTGTTTGGAATCACAACCTAGAGTGATTCTTTTATAGGAACAGATCTCTTATTAAGTTCACACAAAGTTAGTAGAGTGCATATCAAAGAGCCTGTTCACATACTGAATAAAAGTAGGGTCCAGTATTGCTTTCAAGCAGTATCAGTAGTTTACAAGTAAATCCATTGGTAGTTCACTTTAAAAAATCCAGTACAAACATTTCCCATTATTATCAGCTTGCACAAGGTAACCTTTTTGAGCCTGTGGGTGCAATGACAAACTGGCTGCTGGGGGAGATGGAACCCACCACAAAATGTCCGAAAGTGAGGTTATGCATAACTCTAATAGTAACTCTTCAACATTTCAGGCGAAAGCTCTGCTTAACAGGATGCATTTTGGAATAATTTTCTCAAATACAGTGAAGATACTTTTGCGGCACAAGCAGTGTTTTTAAATAAATCTGCACAGCCAATTATCTTGAATTCAAAAGCCCTGCAGGGCAAAAAAATAAATCTAAAAACACTTGGCAGGCACCAGGAAAGATGCCAGTGGGCACCATGTCAGGGACCCCGGATGTAGCTTGAAGAAAAACAAGGCTTTCCAAGAACAGCATAGATGATACTGAGCTATCTTTTGGGGAAAAAAAAATTTCTCTGTGACTGCCTGAAGGACTAAAAATGGTAAATATACTAAACTTAAGACCAGAGAGACTGTAATGGGAAAAGTTAAATATTTACTACTTTTGGCCATTTTCCAGAGAAGGGAGATCTGCATGTGCAAAACAAATAAACTCTGATCCCCTCGTACAAGGTACCCTGCAATCAATGGATTATTATCTTATATTCCAACAGTTAAATTGGCCAAATCTTTGAATATTTATATCTGGTGAGTGAAGCTGTGCCAGAACTATGGCTTGCCCAAGGTCATCCAGCAGCTGCAAGTGGAGGAGTGGGGAATCAAACCCGGTTCTCTCAGATTAGTCCGTGCACTTAACCACTACACCAAACTGGCTCTGTGTAAACATAAAGGACTGTGAAGGGCTAATTTTTCAGAGAGCCTTGAGA